GTGGTGCCATGTGACTGCTGAGCTGTCGTGTGCTGGAGCCCTTGCTGCCAGGGAGCCAATGGTCTTGAACATTTTTCCCCAGCTCCACGCCCAGTGGAGCCACGTCAGTAGCCTGAAGACGGCCATGGTGAGATTATTTAATTGCAGAAGCCAGCAAATGCTACAATCACAATCATACTCACACCGAGCTGGTTGTTAAACATTTACCAGCAAACCACCATTTCTGAGGCTAAATCATAAGTGGTGCAGCTTCCTTGGGTTCTCCTTCTCTCAGTACATGTGCTCTTAAATCCTTGTCTCCATGCTGTGAAGAAGCCCAGGGCCCTGTGTGGTGTTCTGGCTGACAGCTGAGGTCCCAGCTCCAGCGAGCATCAGTCACCACGAGCCATGTGAATGAGGAAGCTTACTGATGACCACAGCGCCAGCCACCATCTGTCTGTCTGCTGCGCCCAGTCAGCCCCCAGATAGAATAATAATAAATGATCATTGTTGTTTTACGCCACTTGGGGCAGTTGTGCAATTATAGAGAATCTGAACAACGATACTTGCACTGCTCTTCACAAGACGTCATAAGTTAAGAGGAATGAAAATGCATCAGTTTCACACTGAAAAAAATATCTGTTTTACATGATAAATCTTCATGCTCAGAGTAAGAGTCACTCATTCACTCATTTATTCAACAAATATTTACTGAGTGCTAATTAAGCGGCAAACCCTGCACTCACTCTGTGTTAAGGGTGGAGGAGCCCCCAGTATGCAAATGGAGACAAAGTGGAAACAACCAGATACAAGTGTAGTGTGAAAGGCACTGCATTAGAAGTGTGTGTAGGGTCCACTGGGGAGGCACAAAGGAGAAAGGGGCCAACTCTTTTTTTAAAAAATTGTGTTGAAGTATAGAGTTGATTTACAATGTTGTGTTAATTAATTTCTGCTGTACAGAAAAGTGAATCAGTTATACGTATATACATTCTTTTTCATATTCTTTTCCATTATGGTTTATCACAGGATATTGAATATAGTTCCCTGTGCTATACAGTAGGACCTTGTTTATCCGTCGTATATATAATAGTTTGCATCTGCTAATCCCAAACTCCCAATCCTTCCCTCCCTCATCCCCTCTCCCCCTTGGCAACCCCAAGTCTGTTCTCTATGTCTGTGAGTCTGTTTCTATTTTGTAGATATATTCATTTGTGTCGTATTTTAGATTCCACTCATAAGTGATATCACATGATATTTGTCTTTCTCTGTGTGGTTTACTTCATTTAGTATGATAATCTCCAGGTCCATCCATTTTGCTGCAAATGGCATTATTTCATTCTTTTTTTATGGCTGAGTAGTATTCCACTGTATATATGTACCACATCTTCTTTATCCATTCATCTCTCGATGGACATTTCGGTTGTTTCCATGTCTTGGCTATTATAAATAGTGCTGCAGTGAACATTGGGATGCATGTATCTTTTCGAATTACAGTTTTGTCCAGATATATGCCTAGGAGTGAGACTGCTGGATCATATGGTAATTCTTATTTTTTTGTTCTTTGAGGAACCTCCATACTGTTTTCCATAATGGCTGTACCAATTTACATTCCCACCAGCAGTGTAAGAGGTTCAGAAAGGGACCAGCTCTTGACTGTTGATTGGAGGTGCGCAGAAAGTGGGTGACAGTCGAGGAAGACTTCAGAAATGATGTCTGGGCTGAGTCCTGAAAAGTGAGGCAGTTTCCCAGGTTACAGGTGGGGAGGGTTGCCCAAACAGAGAGCAGCCCCACGAGAAGGAATGAAACCCTGGGAGCCTGAAGCCCTTGTTTTGTGTGACTAGACAGCACCCCAGGAATGCTAGACAGTTGCTGAAGAATCCTGAGTAAGCAGGTGCACACTGAGGCGTGTTGAGAAATAGAAGGCTGAGGAGATAGGTTGAGACCAGGTTAGGAGGAGCCTGACTGTCTCCTGAAAAAGCTCTTGGTAAAATAAAGTTAAAATATTATTTAAAATCTATTGCAAATCAACAAATGACGTCATGCTCAGTGAGAAAACACTCAGGGCTTACTATGCCTGTCGTGTCTGTCACTGCACTCATGACACGTGTTCTGATTGGTTGTCCCTTCTATTCTGACTAGTCAGGGCCCTTGTCTAGTTTTTAAATATTTAAAAAATATCATCCCTGAAAACATGATTAGAATCAAGAACAGGACAAAGGAGGTAGCATTCACCATTTTGTGAAGGAAATAAAACAAGAGGTGTAAATAATTAGGAAAAAAGGGGTAAAACCATCATTACCTGCAGATGATTTGACTTTATACCTTAAAAAAAAGAGGCAGAGAATCAACGTGAAATTTTAGAACTGATAACTATTCAGAAAAAAATAAGCGTAGAATGCCGGCTCTCTCCCCAGGGATTTGTACAGTTAATGCAATCTGGAACAAAATTACCCCAGGATTTTCCCCCTGGGGAAACTTGATTAAATCATCTTTGAAAAAGTAATCTGGAAAAATAAACATGTGAGGAAAACGAGGAGCCTGGCCCCAGTCTCTGGTCTCAGGATTCCAGGCGAGGACAGCAAACGGGTTGCCAGGGCTGGAGCCCAAGTGGTAGGGAAGGCAACTGTTTCTTGCCAGAGGCCAGGGCCTCAGAGAAAGGCGAACAGCCAGTGGGAGGAGGTGGGGTTTTGGGGGGAGAACCTCTGCAGCTGGTGCTATGCCTTTCCCATCGTTGACCCAGGTCCCGGGGATGCTGATACACTGCTGACTCAGCAGCTAGAACAGCGACCTGAGGACGGGTACTATTCCTTTTCCCCAAGCCCGCTCTAAGGCGCCAGCTAGAACTGAGTGGCAGGGCTGAGGCTGGAAACCTTTCAGGGAGGAGGGAACCAGTCTCTCGGGGCGTGTCCTCACATCCTCCCCAGAACCCCTGGGACCGCTGAAACCGGGGCTCAGAGACACCCCAGTATTTTCCTGGAGCACCTGGGGTGGCTGCCCAGTTCCACAGGGCCCTTAGAATCTGAAAGTTTGACTGTCTTTTTTCTTTTTTTTTTTCTCCTAGACCCAGGAGTTTCTTTATTTATAAAATTGCAGTAAAATATACATAACATAAAATTGACCATCTTGACCATTTTTAAGTGCACAGTTTAGTGATGTTAAATACATTCACCCTGGTGTGCAACCAACACCACCATCCATCTCCACAACTCTTTTCCATCTTGCAAAACTGAAATGGTACCCATTAAACAGCGCCCCCATCCCTTCCTCCCCTCAGCCCCTGGCAACCACCATTCTGCTTTCTGTCTCTGTGACTGGGACTGCTCTGAATACTTCAGAGAGATGGAATCATACAGAATTCGTACTGTTGTGCCTGGCGTATTGCACTTAGTACAATATCCTCAAGGTTCATCCAGGCTATAGCTTGAGTTGATTGTGTTTTCGTTCTTCTCCTTCTATGAATTAGTTCGGGACTGAGATAGTTTGCTTCTGTTTTTTCTCAAATTATCTTCAGGAAAATTATAACGCTGAGAAAAGTCAAAAAAAAAATGAAATGCTTTGTGATTCAGGTGGAAGTTGAAAGAAGGGTCCCTGACGGTTTCTCCCCAGTTAGGAAGCCATCAGGATTAGCGGATGGTAAATACAGAAAAAAATGACTCAGATAGAAGGGTAACGTGAGAATGGAAAGTTCTCCAAGGAGAGCCTGAAGAGAATGAGAATGGTTACACAGAACTAATTTGTTTGAGAATAACACACAATAAGAGACAGCCTTCTGCACAGTCTGGGGGAGGCCGGTGGGAAGGAACACTTGGGAACGGGGGAGTCAGTGTTGACTCGTCCCCTGATCACTCATCGTGTGGTGCACAGGTTGGCCTTTGGCCGACTTTAATACCTCCCTTCATTTCCATGGCTTCTGTCAAGAAGTCAGGCGTACCCTCATTAACTCACAGACTCCTTTGTAATTAAACTCAAGCATACGCTCATTAACTCATTACTCTTTTGAATTAAATTTCCTCATGGGATACATTAGGTTTTATAAAATAATCCTTTTACAATGTCTGGCTTGGAGTGAGCACTACTTATTCAATGAATGAGTGAACTCACTTTTACCAGCAGAGCCCCACTAAGTAGGCCACCTCAAGGCTTATACGGAACAACATGCATAATAAAATCTATACTCTGAATTCAGCTTGTAACTCGGTTGTACTAACACGTGACCTTTATTCACATGGCAATGATTGTAGTGGCCAAAAGCTTGGACTCTGGATTGCATTGCCTAAGTTCAAGTTCATTATACACTTGGTAGCTTGGTGACCTTAGGTAGTTACTTAATCTCTCTGTACCTCACTCTGCTCATCTGTGAAATGGGGATAATAATAGCACCTACTTTGCTTTGGGCAGTATTTTCAACAGTGGTTTTCCACTCACTTCCAACAGTAGCTGCTTCCACTCTGTTGCTCATCTCTGGGTCGCCCCCCACCCCTGACCACCACGTCTTCTTTTCAGCTTTTCCCTCCTTCCATCACGTTTGTAACTAACTCCCCACATTAAATTCCCTCTGTTTTCTTAAGTGATAAAACTATTTTTATTATTACTGACATCTAGCCTCTGAACCTCATAATCACTTTCCAAAGACTCCTGCTTTTTCAAAAAATTCCTCTATTTCTGTACTTAAAATATGTATCATCTGGTTTGGGAGAAAACATTCCCTCTTTGCTGCATCTGCAGGGCCACCTGGAAAAGCTACTGAGAGACCAGCCCTGATTCCTTCCCTTACTGACCTCCTGGGAGGACGGCCCTATAATCCGAAGTTTAGTCTGTTTTGAGCCCTGGGCTAAAACATGCTCAAAAAGGGCTACTGTCCTTCAGGCAGCCCCAGGCTACGACAGTGGGTCTGGGAGTCGGGAGGCTCTGTCCTCCCTGCTCACAGCCAGTCACCCCACTTCAACTTGCTCGGGGGAGGTGCGGCCAAACATTGCAGAGAAGATTCAAGTCACCTCACATGCCACTCTTTCCTCCAACAGGTTCCACCAACCCACCACGTGGTGTGAAGTCTTCAGCGTGGGTTCAGGGCTGGAGACTGGCACGGCCAGGACCATGGTGAGACAAGAGAGTCAAGACTGAAGGAGATGTCACCCTCAGGGCCACGCAAGTGCAGGGTCAGCGTGAAAAAGGAGCCCTTCCTTACATTTTGGACAACAGGTGCCTTTCTGCCCCACCTGGTCTCACCCCTTTATACCATCCTTTTCCACGAGAACAACACAAAACTGAGAATGTCAGGGTTGGAGGAGGCAGGACTTCCTTGGGTCCAGTGCTTAAGACTCCAGGCTTCCACTGCAGGGGGCGCGGGTTGGATCCCTGGTGGGGGAACTAAGATCCCGCATGCCGCGCTTCACGGCCACAAAAAAAGAAAAAAATGTTGGAGGAGGCCTTTAATGTCCTAGGACTCCCCTGCTTCTCCACATGTGGTCCATGGAGACGCAGCAGGGTCTTCAATGTAGATTCCTGGGCCCAAGCCCAGACCAACAGATTCAGAATCTTCGGGAGGTGGGGCGGGAACCTGCATTTTAATAAGGAGCCTCAGGCACTTCTGATAAACTAACAGTGGAGAGCTTCTCCTTGATGCTCACCTGTCACAGCATACCTTACCCAGCCTCCCGAAGTCGCCTGTTTTAGATCTAAAAAAAACGGCGGTTAGTCTATCACACTGGGCACCATTCTGTCTCCCTGTAACTTCACTCTGTCTCAGATCCAGAGTCTGGAATGACACTGTATAGGTTTCATCTCTTTTCTACATCTCAATCCTCGAGCACTAAGGTGTCTCTCGGGTCCTCAGCCCTCTTCAAGGACCTTAAGCCTCTTTAAGTTAAACAGTTGGTGTTCAGTCGACTCTTCCTCACAATCCACCAGCACGTAGAGAGAGCAAGAAAGGAGAAGAGGCTGCCAGATACGCCTGCACTACCAACTAAAGTTAAGGCCCTGAGATGGAATGTTTCCAGCACTAATTCACAACTCCACTAAATTGTAACTTCGGCCCTGAATTTTAACAGCCCACCTTTCAAACGCTTCCCGGGGTTGCGCTGCTGCCCCCTTCCGGCCCTGGGTAGTACTGCAGGCTGTCGAAGCTGGCGATGGGGATGCGCTTTCCCCACACGTGGGAGTGGGAACGCGAGATAATCCGTCCGTCCCAGGGAAAGCCAGGAGTTGCTGTCCTGCAGCAGGCGAGAAATCCGAGACGAGAAACAGAGAAAGGAAGCGTGCGGCGGGGAGGGGGGGACCCGCCAGCGAAGAGAAGACCTGGAAGATGTAGACCTGGACCACCCCGAACCCACAGTGGCCCAGTTCTGCCCGGTTCTGGATCTGGCTCTTTCGTCAGCTCAAAAGGTGAGTTGGGACAGCCCTGTGCAGCCTTTCAAGTTGGAGAAAGAATCCTAGCAGGTGGTTTCTCGGAGTCATTCAGGGGAAGATGACAATGTGCTGATTTGTGCTTCCTGGAAAGAAAATAACTACATTATGAAAGTGCTTTTCTTAATTGTGCGGAGGGAAAGAAAATATTCATCTTCACTGAGTCTAAGGAAAATGGTTTTTCTCGTGGAAAGAATAGTTGTAAAGGAACAACGAACTTCAGAGTGAAAGCAAGTTGTGCTGGGCTCTTAGAAACATCTTGGTAACTACAGAGCAGTGAGGAGGGATCCCCTGTTGGGTCTCTGAGCAGGTGACTTTGACGTGGTCATTATAAAAGTGTGGTAGAGCTCAGAGGAAGTACATTTTCCATTTCATAGGGACCGAATAGTGAAGGACACATAGGGAAGTGGTGGGGTCACTCTGGCACACAGATACGCAGTTACCTCCATGGAATTCATGCAGGATGGGATAGTTAGGAGGGCAAATGGAGCAGAGGCTACATAAAGAGCTGCAGACAGTAAAGGATTTGTGTCCTGAGCACCCAGAACGTTTGTTGGAAATATTCAACAACTGTGGTTAACACCTGCCTTTGGAGGAACAGGTATGGAGGTGGTTAATGTTTAGCCTTTAACGTTATTCAAAACCAAGTGATGAGCTGGGGTTCCCATCGCATCTGATTTAGGAATAAACAGTGTAATTGACCAAGTCAATCACTAAAAACCACACTCACCAAGTCAAAAATGTGCTCAGATTGGAGCTTTGAGGTGGAAGTAGGTAATGCGAGGTGCTGTCGAAGTGCTAAATGTTGAGAGAAACTGAGATGTCTGCGGCACAGTCTCGCTGTGGGGCCAGGGCACAGACCAGAGGTTTAAGGTAAGGCAGTAAAATTTGCAGTAAAAGTACTATAAAGTTGAACACTGAAACTGGGAACGTTAGTTATAAAAGGGTCAAACTCAGAATTACTGGCATTTTGGGCTGGCTAATGCTTTGTCGTGGGGTGCTGCCCTGTTCCTTGCAAGGTACTTAGCAGCATCCCCTTGTCTCCGTCTGCTGGTTACTAACCACGTCATGACAATCAAAACTGTCTCCAGACATCGCCAGCTGTCCCCTGAGAGGCAAAATTACCCCTGGTTGCTTACCACTGAGATACACCAATTGGATTGAAAAGTGAAAGTGTGTGAAGAATTGTCATTCAGTAACTGTTATCAGTTAATTCCCTCTTATCAGTTAATGCCCTTTATTATCACTAAACTTATAGGAGAGGACACGCCAGGGGCTATTATCACTACTCTTATTGATGCAGAAGCAAATGAGAGACAAACAATCCCATCACTGTCATACACAAATCACTGTTTATTCCCACTGGAGAGAAGGGGCTGCCCAGCCCACTCCCGCAATCTCTTCCTGTTTCAGATTTCTACCAAATAGGGAAACTTTCTACCCAGCAAGAAACATATTCATTTTCTTAGTACTTGGAAAGTTTAGAAATTGCCTAAAATGGTCCTTACCACCATAATTATCATGGATCTACTCTGTTGAGCATCTGTTGTGAATGAGGGGTCCACCCTCTCTTAGAAGAGCTTCCATGTGAAAGGGCCAGGGGGAGCATGTGGTTCAGTTTTGTGAATTTTGCATGTTTTCAGCATAATAGTGAATAGATCTTTCATAGCGTATTTTTGTTTGTTTGTTTGTTTTTTACCTTTTGACCCCCTGAACCCATTTCTCATTTCTACACACTCCTCTGCCCCTACACCTGCCACCTCTGGCAACCACCAATCTGTTCTGTGAATCTATGAGCTTGTGGGTTTTTTTTTTTATTGTTGTTGGAGATTCCATATATAGATCGTATCGTATTTGTCTTTCTCTGTCTGACTTATTTCACTTAATGGCCTTGAAAAATCCATCCATGTTGTCACAAATGGCAAGGTTTCCTTCTTTTTTATGGCTGAATGATATTCTGTTTTTATATACCACAATTTCTTTATCCATTCATCCGTTGATGGACTCTTCGGTTGTTTCTACATCTTGGCTTTTATAAATAATGCTACAGTGAACATGGGGGTGCATATATCTTTTTGAGTGAGTGTTTTTGTTTTCTTCGGGTAAATACCTGGAAGTGGGATTGTTGGATTGTATGGGAATTCTATTTTTAATTTTTTGAGGAAACTCCGTACTGCTTTCCACACTGGCTCCACCAATTTACATTCCAGCCAACAGCGTATGAGAGTTTCCTTTTCTCCACATCCTTGCTAACACTTGTTATTTCTTGTCTTTTTGATAATACCCATTCTGACAGGTGTGAGGTGATATCTCATTGTGGTTTTGATTTTCATTTCCCTGATGATTAATGATGTTGCACATCTTTTCATGTACCTATTAGCCATCTGCATGTCTTCTTTGAAGAATGACTATTCAAATCTACCCACTTTTTAATCATATTGTTTGTTTTTTGCTATTGAGTTGCATGAGTTCCTTATATATTTTGGATATTAACCCCTTCTCAGATATATGATTTGCAAATGTTTTCTCCCATTCTGTAGGTTACCTTTTCCTTTTGTTGATGGTTTCCTTTGCTGTGCGGAGCTTTTAGTTTGATGCAGTCCCACTGATTTTTGCTTTTGTTGCTTTTACTTTTGGTGTCAGATCCAAAAACTCATTGACAACACCTATGTCAAGGAGCCTTCCACCTAAGTTTTCTTCTAGGAGTTATACAGTCTCAGGTCTTACATTCAAGTCTTTTATCCATTTTGAATTAATTTTTGTGTATGATGTAAGATAGTGGTCTAGTTTCATTCTTTTGCAAGTGGCTGTCCAGTTTTCCCAACACCATTTATTGAAGAGACTGTCCTTTCCCCGTTGTATATTCTTGGTTCTTTTGTCATAAATTAATTGACAATATATGAAACAATAAATCCCACTGCAAAGGTAGTATACAGTAAAAGTAGTGGATTAATCCCCTATAGAGCTAGTATGAAGGTTAAAAGACAAAAGTGGTAAAAATAACTATGATTAGAATAATTACTTAAGGGATGCACAAAATAAAAAGACCTAAAATGTGACATCTAAAACAAAACTTGCAGGGGAGAGTAAAAATGTTGAGCTTTAGAATGCAATCAAACTTAGGTTATCGACTTAACATAGACTGCTATAGATACAAATTGTTATATGTAAGCCTCATGGTAACCACAAAGCAAAAACCTATAGTAAATACATAAAAGATAAAGAGAAAGTAATATAAGCAGACCACTCAAGAAAGTCTTCAAACCACAAAGGAAGAGAGTGAGAGAAGAGGAAGGAGCAGAGGGACTACAAAACAGTCAAAACGATTAACAGCATGACAATAAGTGTATACCTATCATAGCATATTTGAATTGGTAAATTCACACAGTGAGTTCTGTGAATAAAAAAGCAGATTTACTATTATTTTCTCAAACTGCAGCTTTTTTGTGGGTTTGGCACTCAAAACATATTTATTTTTGCTTTGAATTGAAATAAATCCATTATCAAAGGTCATAAAAAGTAATTCACAAAGGGGGACATTAACCAGAAAACAATCAGTGAAAGAATGTGCAATATCACTGGTAATCCAAAATGTAAACTAAAATAGCAATTAACTTTCATCTTTGCCTATGAAAGTAATTAAAATGATCTAGTCTTCCTAACACCCAATGCTGGCTGTGGTGCGGTGAAACTGGCACTTCCATATATTGGCTAGTGACACTGTAAATGGATACAAGTCCTTTGGAAATTAATTTTACCTCAAAAACCAAAAAAAAATGCTCATGCTTTTTAATTCCGTAATCTCATATCAAATTATTTATTCTAATGGAAAGATATGTTTCTTGGGATTAGTCAAGATAGTGAAAAATTGTAAGTAACCAACAATAAGGTATAGGTTGGGTATAGTATGATATATCCTGCTCTGTAGAATGTGATATAGATAGAAGTGTTAAAATGATGGTTACAAAGACCACACAGTTATAGAAAGAATTCTTGTGTCAAAATGCGGAAAAAAAAAAAAAAAAAGGGAATTCCCGGGCAGTCCAGTGGTTAGGGCTCAGCGCTTTCACTGCCGTGGCCCCTGTTCAGTCCTTGGTAGGGGAACTAAGATCCCACAAGCTGCACAGCACGGCCCCCACCCCTCAAAAAAATGTGAAGTGTTAATTTAATGTGCCCTATGAATACAACCATCAAAAATGTGTGTGTGTGTGTGTGTGTACACGTACATATACATACATACATATATACTTGAAAGAAAAGCTCCAAAATACCACCAGTTGTCGGGCTAGAGTCCTGCAGTTGTTTATAATGACAAATGGTTTTCTTTTCTCTATGACCTAATTTTTCTGTTACTTTACTTTCATAATTTTAAAGAAAATATTACAAAAGAGGAAAAAATATTTCCTCTCCGCCATCACATCATAGCCCCTCTTTTTGTTTTTCCTCTTGGGGGACTTATTTCTGCTTATCTGCGCCACTACAAGCTACTTATTGTCTCTGGAATTTGGGGAAATAATTTACGTTTCCTTTTCAATGACACTTTTTTTTTCTTTTGGAGTAGATCCATTTATTTCAAATTAATTTACATGAATGAGCCATGTTTCATAACTCCAGGGAGGAGAGAGCTACAGGCTTAATTCTGCCAAAATACTGGCATTGAGACTTCATGACATTTTCTTGGTGGAAATGGAGAAAACAACTTTCTGGGAATTCATGAGTTTTCTCTAATTGTGCGTTTGTGTTCACATGTATTTGCTGGAGGAAGGGTTCACTCCTCTTTTTTTAATTAAAAATTCAATCCAGTGATGCTTCTTGAATGTTTTAAATTATAAACATAAACCTGCTCATGGGTGAAAAAGCAAAGCAGTATTAGGGTAAAGAGTAGAAATGAACATACTTCTCACACCTTCCTCCAGCACTTTCCTCTGGCCCGACCCCTGTGGCCCTATACCTGGCTACTTCTCTCCACAGGTGACGGGTATTAACATGGTTTGCTGTGTGTGTGCTGCATCTTGTCCTAGGCCTGTCGGTACACATGTGGACATCATTTACATTGATGAGGTCGTACTGGACACACCCCTCTGCCCCCTCTGCTTGTGGTAAGTTGTGTCGAATTGCCCTCCAAAGAAGTGGCACCACCGGCGACGTAGCCTAGCTGTTCCCCCCCCCTCACTGGACTCCTAAACTGTTCTTCATCTTTGCTGATACCTCATGGTTGTTTTAATTAACACTTCATTCCTTATCACTGTGTGACGTTGAACATAATTTACGAAGTCGATTGTCCAGCATTTGGGACCTTGTGCGGGAATTCTGTCTCCTCCTTCTGGCTGGGGCTAAAGCTCGTTGCCCACATCAGAGCCACCTGTCTCCTAAGGAACATTCTTTAAGGTGTGACAGAATTAGCAGCACATCATTCTTTTTTACCTCTTATCCATCTTGCCAGTTTATAAAGTAAAAGCCTGAAGGAATAAGAATGGCCTCATTTATAAGATGGATCTAATACCTGTACCCTGTGTCGGTTTGTCTCATTGGGTCTGATGTTATAACCGATAAGGGTATCAGTGTTTTTTTTAAATGGATGTTTCTACCACTGTTTGCAGTTAGTGACTAAAGAAAGCAGTCCATTTGGGATATTCAAAAATTTTTAAATCTCTCTGTATCCCTACACTGTTTTTTGTTTGTTTGTTTTCTTCAAAGTTCACAGGAAACTAAAGCATGTGGCTCTTAGCCCAGTTAGTGGCCCAAGGTACAAATGCTTGTGTTATGATGTAACACAGACAAATACAGGTGGTTTCCACAAAAGCTGCTGTGGATTTGAAGATGTGATATCTTGGGTTGTAGGTATGATAGGAACAATTCACATGTTGTTTTAAAGAAAATTTATACATTTGTGGCAACTCCACCACACGAATATGAACAGTTTGCCCTTCTTTCTCTTCCCCCTGTTATTTCCCTTCCATGACACAGAAGGAAAGTGTTGGCCCCTGGCTAGATGTGAAGTCCACACCAACCCCTGAGGAGAGAATTCCACTACCTTCTCAGTGTTATTTATGTGCTGCTCCCTGTGCTACTGAAGCTTACAAGTCCTGAAACTCCAGAGGGCTGTCTGAGGGCAGGATGCGGAGCATCTGGAGCTGAGACAGGAAGAGAGGTGTGTGGGGACTGGTGACATGTTCGGTGATGTTGCCAGTGACACAGGGAGGGGCTTTCTCTCCCCCGGACACCCCACCGATGATGAGACTCGCCCAGAGCAAGTGCTTTGCGTCATAACCAGGGACACACCTGTTCTACATCTAGAAAAGTGAGGTTAGGAAAGACCCTTAGGAGCCCTGCTGGGCCATAACCCCCTCCTGCCCTTTGAGACCGGGTTTGTCCTTGGGTACGGGACAGTTGTTTTTCTAGATGGGGTTTTAGTGGCTTAGCTTACGTGGCACCCCTGTGGTCATCGACCTCAACAAGTGTGGACACCAACAAAAAACATCTGTAATTCATTCAGTAACTAGTTGTCGACGACTGGGGGCCTCCTTTCTGTTTGACAAAAGGGTGCACACCTGGTAAACCCCATCAGGCCAGGGAACTGGCCTAGTTTCATGTCCCCTGGTGAAAAGCCAAGTCAGTGATGGGGAGGAAGCTGTTGTTTAATCTGGGCTTCAGTTCCCCTGATTTTCTGTGTGTAGGGCCACCAAGGCAACAGGTTTTGCAAGCACATTGTAGAAAGAACGAATCCTCGTGAAGAGACATTCTAACAGTGGTTCTCGGAATCATTCATTAAATGTATATTGAAGACCTGCTACGGGCTGTGCACGCATGTCTTCCACAGTTGTTTCTGGAAAGGCAGCAGGAGGCAGGATCATCAGGGGATAGCTGGGAATTGCCCAGCACTGCGTTCTGTGGGAGGAAGGGCGTGTGACACCCTCGTGCTCAGCTCGGATGCTTCGTGTCCTGTTTTCTCACTGCAATCAAAACTATGAAAGCCAGTTCTGCTCAAGTGAGAGCAGGCCTCTCAGGCTTGACAGATGTTACGACCCCTGCCTTCTAATCTAGCCGTGTTACCTTGGGCACGTTCTTAACTCTTCTGGCCCTCCATCTCCTCATCTGTGAAATGGGCACGATGCTCCTTACCTGGTGAAACACGATTGCAAACCCACAGGACTGATGGAGAAGGTGCGCCCACCTCCTTGCAGCCCCTGACTCTCCCTGGGAAGCCCTTCCTTTCTCGGTTTCTTCCCCTTTCCTCCTTCTCGGTGGTAAGAAGGACAGGCTGGGCTTGCAAGTCTCAGAGGCCAGGTTTCAAATGAGTCACAGAAGCCTCATTTCAAATCCCAGTTCTACCACTCAGTAGTTAAGCAGCTTTGAGCATATGAACTGTCTGAATCTCGGTTCTCCCTGTGCCTCCTGGGCAGCCAAGGGGGACGAAATGAGGTGACACGTGGGAGACCTTGGCAGGGCGCTGGGGATTTGCCTCTGATTTCAGACTGACCCGTCTCCCATCACATCGACTCCGACTTGCTGTAAAGGGGCTCCTGCAGATACCAAGCCAGCTTCTGAGTGTGACACATCCTAGAAGCAAAGCGTTAGGGAATAAAAGCTCCGTATCTCATTGTAATCCCTGGAGCTGAAAGCACTGGCTGAATCGCCCTGCCTGTGAGCTAACAGAGGATCAGCAGCTGAGAGAAGCTGCCAGAGCGAGCTCGGCCTGCCAGGGTGGCCCCCCGCCGGCAGGCCCACGCTGAGCGACGGCGGGGCGGTGGAGGAAATCACGGCGAGCAGCAGCCTCCGGCCGTGTGCTCTTCTCCTTAGTTATCACTTCCACGCGTATCCCGTCACTCACTGCCAGCATCCGCTGCGCTCAGGTCCTTCCACCTGGGAGAGCCGGCGGGCGGCACTGCCGAATGCTGCGGTCCCCTGGTCTGCAAATCTCTGCGGTACCAGCAATGAGGCCTTTCTAAAAGTGTGCTTGAAAATGGAGCTGTGCCCTTTCAGGACAGATTCCTGGAGGGACTTTGCGTATGAAGTGAGGATGTTTGCCCCAGGTCCTGTCAGGATCAGCCAGCACCCCACCCTTCACCCCCGGAGCTGACCTCTCCCAAGCAACAAACTGGTAGAAAATTGCAGAACTGTCCCACACTCAGGCACTAGGGGCAAAGGGACAGAGCATCCACCGCCGCTCCCAACCTACTGCCTCTACAGGGCTACCTCATTCCCTGGGCGGGAGAATTTGCTGTCCTACCTGATTGGTTGGATTTTGGTTGTGTATTTTATTTTATTAATCTATTTATTCGACCTCGCTGCGAGGCATGTGGGATCTTAGTTCCCCGACGACCAGGGATCGAACCCCCGCCCCCGGCAGTGGAAGGGTGGAGTCCCAGCCACTGGACCGCTAGGGAAGTCCCTATTTTAAAAGTTATGGATATTTCTTCCAAAGAGGGGAAGCTCTTTCTCATAGTGTCAACTTGCTCAGACCATAGCAAGTCCACAGTGAAGCCGTGGTGGGTCTCCAGGCCTCCTGGGTCTCAGTCCAGGCTGCTATGGTCAAGTCCATGCTTACCCTTTTTCCGTGGACCTTGGAGAATGGTGTTATAATCGAGAGAGCTACATGTGTGTGCAGAAGTGAGAAGGGCTTCAGCTCTGTCGATATATCTGAGTCAAATCTGGGCTCTGCCAGTCGTTAGCTCTGGCTTTAGAGCGAATCTTAACCTCTCTGAGTCTCCAAGACTCCATCTGTAAAACTGAGTTAATAGTACCTCCCAGGATTGTTGTGGGGATTAAATACAAGAAGATGTACGTGAAGTGCTAACCTAACACCTGGCACTTAGCAATTGCTCAATAAATGGTACCTATTATTACCTTGCCCTCCAGGCCCTGTGTCTTCCCAGCTGTGCATCAGTGGGCAAGCTTCTTAACCTCTCTGAGCGTGGTTCCCTCATCTGTGAAATGAGGGGTGTTTCAGTCTGATCATGGCTAACAAGGCCACACCTGCAGGCCGACCGTGTCAAAGCCAGCACCCTGAATCCAGGCTGATTGAGGCCACCTGCAGGCACAGGTGACACGCACAGAGGTGGTTAATTGGCACCGTGTCAGTCCTGCCACAGCTTTTCTAATAAATTATGAATAAATTATGTTTGATTCCCAGAACTTCGTCAGCAAGCGAGAACAATGCCGGGGATGTGGAGAAGGCGTGTCATTGGTGCATTTCTAAGATTGCCAGCAGTGGTGAGTCACAGCTCTGAGAAATGTCCTAGTTTTGAAGGATTTGGGCTTCTGAAATCACATGACTTGTTAGAGCCCAGAGTGAACCCTGTGGGTGGTCTGTGCTTGGCTCAGGGTGGCCCCAGGGTAGACCTGGGAGGGGATAGTGTCCTGACCTCTGTTGATGCCCCTACTTCTACTCCTTATTTAAGAACGTTTAGCTTTTCGTAGTGCACAGGATGTATTTTCAACATAATCTGTGTTTGGAAAATGTTTGAGTGAATGGAGTCACTGATACAACCAACATGTAATGGCAGCGGAGCTAGGGGACGTGCAGGGAGATGTGAGTGGATTTGGATTGGGGTGGTTTCCCGCACCCCCATCCTACCCTGTCTCCTTGCCAAATTGGACTTTCCCCACCATCTCCTGGTGGGGCCCTTCTGTCCAGAGGGGTTGGGCCACATTACAGAAGGCCCAGGCTATATCATAACATTTGGAATATCCTTAAAACAAATCCCAGCCCTTGGGGCTCCTTGGGGTGAAAGCATTTACCTCCTACTGAGACGTGTGGTCTGTCTTTTATACAGATGATGTGTGAATGAAGGGAATCTCGTGGGACGTCTTTTTTTTTTAACCTTAATTTCTTTCTTTTTTTAACCTTAATTTCTTTTTTTTTAACATCTTTATTGGAGTATAATTGCTTTACAATGGTGTGTTAGTTTCTGCTTTATAACAAAGTGAATCAGTTATACATATACATATGTTCCCATATCTCTTCCCTCTTGCGTCTCCCTCCCTCCCACCCTCCCTATCCCACCCCTCCAGGCGGTCACAAAGCACCGAGCTGATCTCCCTCGTGGGAAGTCTTAAGCAACTTATCTTAGAGCAGTAATATTTGGAAACAGCAGGCAGAGGGTAGAGTGGGCTAAGGTATAGGGTCAGGAGACAAGGGGGTGGTGGATGGGTGCCTGGTGACTATGGTATTGACATGCTGATGCCCATGTATGATCACCAACTCCCCACCTCCCTCTCCTCTCAGGACAGCTCGTTCACTGCTGCATCCCCAGCACCTCCAATGGTGCCCAGCACGTAGTAGGAGTGTAGTAACTGTCCACCGAATGACTAGATGGGTAAATGAATGAACCACCAGCTCCCAATACAAGCGCCTCCTCTGGCTAATGTACCCAACCCCCATCTCATCCTCCTCAGACACAGCCTGACACTTTACTCCCTGCAATGGCTCTAGGTCGCACAGCCCCCTGCACCTCTGGAGCATACCTACTATATGCGGGCCAGAGTGGTGGCAATGGTCCTGGACCCATTCCTGCAGAAGAGAAGGTGAGCTTCAAATCACTTGAAAGACCCTTTGTGAGTGGACCCCTGTTCACCTCTGTGTCATCTCCTCTTCTTTCCCTTCTCACCCTGGAAAATGCAGCCAGACAAAAACACCAGGTTCCCCTTTTCCCCTGGGCCTTCCAAACTGCATTATTGGTTGGAAGGGAGAAAAAAATAGTAATTATGCAGTGGAAAAATTGGGGAAAACTCTGACGGGTTCAAAATTAACATCACCACCGAGGGACGGATGGCCATCACCTGTGCAGAAGTCTGGCTGAGAAGGCACAACCTTAATCCAAACACAAGGGAACAGGGGCAAACCCGAAGTGGAGACTGCTGTCTTAGCCCTTTTGGGCTGCTGTAGCAATTTGCCATTGACTGGTGGCGTATAAACAGCAAAGGTTTATTCCTCACCGTTCTAGAAGCTGGACGTCCAAGGTCAGGGTGCCAGCAAAGCTGGGTTCTGATGAGAGCATCTTCCAGGTTGCAGACTGCTGACTCTCCCTGTGTCTTCACGTGACGGAGAGCAGAGAGGAAGCAGGGTCTCTCTTGTCTCTGATAGGGGCACTGATCCCATTCGTGGGGCCTCCACCCCACGACCTCGTCTAATCCTAATTACCTCGCAGATGTCCTACCTCCTAAAATACCATCACATTTGGCTAAGGTTTCATCATGAATTTAGAGAGGACACAAACATTCAGTCCATAACAAACATATTCTTCAAAAATGTCAACATGATATAAAACAAATAGAGTCTGTGGAAATGTTCTAGGTTCAAGAGGACCAAGGAGATTCAATAACAAGAGGCAATACCTGACCTTAGATTGGATCCAACCCAATTGGAATATGGACAGTAGGTTAAAGTATTCTCTCAATGTGAACTTAAGGAAGTTTGCCAACTGTACTAAGGTTATAAGAGAATGTCCCTATCCTTAGGAAATACACACTGGGATGATTTCCAACTAAAAAGTTTAAAAACTTAATACAGGAAGCATATAGACAAGAGGAACCGCGTGGCAGGTATCTGAATGTTTGAGAATTTTCACAATTAACAATTCTTTTAGAATTTAGACTGGAAAAAAGCTTCCCTGGTCTTATCCTGAATTTCTTACAATGCTGCCCTAGATGCGTCTACACCACAGCGTTTTCCTTTCCAGTGACTTTTACATTTTCTTCTATATGGTTTTCTACATTTCCTGTAAAGTACTACATACTTATGTAATGACAAAGCAAAGTTCTATTTTAAGAACAATCTTCAGATGTTCCCTTTAGGTGGATTGGCAGCTGGTCCCTATCCACATGTGAAGTTAGCTAAGTGGTGGGGGGGAGGGGAGGGGAGGGTCTTGAGGCCTGAAGGAGTGACCCTTCCATCTGTCTGTCCATCGAGAGAGCAGGGCAGTCTCTGTCACGGCCTCAGACCCCACCCAGCCACCAGGAAAGCTCTCCTGGGCCACGGCCCAGCCCTGACCGTCAGCCTCCCCGTCTCACATGTTCTTTCCATCAAGTTCATTCTGCTGTAGTACGGCTGCTTCCCTGCACCCTGAGGCTGGCCTGGAGGATCGATTTAATAACTGGGAAGCAATGAAACCTTGATGAATGCACGTGCGGTGTGTGCAGCCGGCCTCTGGCCATCACGGGATGACACAATTAAATGTGACTGGTACGCTGAACCCAGGTCAGGGCACCTATCAGGGCGTCCTGGGAAGCCCTCTTAGCACCACTTGGAGATGGCAGCTCAGTGAAGGCAGGCACAGGGGAACACTGGGGGAGAGGCCTTCCACCCTGAGACTGGACCAGAGGCCCGTGACCCTGGGTGTTTCAGCCCGCAGGGAGGTGGACAGAGGCTCATGAAAGTCCACATACTGAGTGTCGAGAGGCAGTTTATGCTACGATTCTGACTGTGAGAAATAGCGCGTTATTTTATTTTATTTTTAAAAATTAATTCATTAATTTATTTATTTTTGGCTGCGTTGGGTCTTTGTTGCTGCGCGCAGGCTTTCTCTAGTTGCAGCGAGTGGGGGCTACTCTTCATTGCTGTGCATGGGCTTCTCATTGCAGTGGCTTCTCTTGTTGGGGAGCACGGGCTCTAGGCGTGCGGGCTTCAGTAGTTGTGGCTTGCAGGCTCAGTAGTTGTGGCACACGCGCTTCGTTGCTCCGTGGCATGTGGGATCTTCCCGGACCAGGGCTTGAACCCGTGTCCCCTGCATTGGCAGGCAGATTCTTAAGCACTGCGCCACCAGGGAAGACCACCCCCCCCCCAATTTTTTAATGTGCTTTTAAAACTTGAAAACTTCTCCTTTTGTAGGTAAAATTAAACTGACTTCACGTTCCTACTTGCCAGCAAAAAAAATCAGTCTTGGGCATTGCGGTCACAGAATTCAGGATGTGGGACAGGGGGATCATGTCCACCTCTTTGGCGGGTTGGGGCAGGGGAGGCTCCTGCTCTCTGGGCAAAACCATCATAGGCCTATACAGACTGTTTGTGCAGCTTCTGAAAGGTTCCCTCCTGGTAGCGGTAGCCTCAAGGACACACAACTTAGGAAGTTGTCTTCCAAGAAAAGGGCATCGCTTCCTCCAGGCAAGAGGGATTTCCACCTTCACTTATCCCTTAGCCTCACCCCGCCCCATCTTTCCTGCACAGACCGCATAGCAGTGCGCTCTGTCCCTACCATGGGGCCAGCACCTGCGCCAAGCTTGGGACGTTGGGGTCTTTCCAAGCCGGGGGGCCTGGTGGCCCCTCCCTAGGTGCTCCTTGTAGCAGTTCCCTCTGGACGCTGCGAGCAAGAGGGCCACCACCCGCAGAGCCTTCCAAGAACTTCACTCGTCAGCCTACGAGGTCTCCCCGCCGGTGCACACCGCTCCGCCCCGTTGCTCCTCCCCTTTGGGCACTTTCCTCCATCCCTTTCCCTTGGGACAATCCCAGGGAATTGCCCTCAGTGGGCTCCAAGACGCAAAATTTGGCATCTCTTGTCAGGGATCAGAAAAAAGATTCTGACACCTGTCAGCATGATTCTTGTTACTGTATCATCCTATTACATGGATGGTGGAGAGTCTTAAGCCCTTGGCAAGTCACGTGGGCAATGGAGGTGGTTTTAGAAAATCCTGGAGCTCAGGGCTCCCAGATTCCAGTAGGTTCTCCCAGCACGTTAAATGCAGTGAGTTCTGAACCAAACACGTCCTTTCCCCAAAGCTCCTCCTCTTTCCATTTCTCCCATTTCTGTCAATGCCACCACCATTATTGTCACCCAAGCTCAGCACTTGAGCCATTTTCTACTCCTTTCTTTCCTTTATTACTGCATCTAACTGGTACTCGAGAGCCTGCCCCTCCTACACCTCGTGATCGCCCTCCAGGATACACGATGGGTCAGCCTTCTCACTGGTCTCGGCTGTCATCTCCATTCCATTGGCCTCATTGTTTCCAGTGGTTTGACTTTGATTATGTCACTTCCCAGCTCCAGCTTCCCAGTTGTAGGATTTTACAACTCCCTTGATCTTCCTAATAAAATGCAAATGCCCTGATGTAGGTTGGAAATGCCCTCTATTCTCAATACCTTGTTCCAGTCTTATTTCCCACTTACCTGTTATGGATGACCTATGCTCAGCTAAACGGGAGGATTTGTCACTCCCCCAAACCCACCCTGATCTTTTCTTCCTTGAATCTTTTCCTTTAGGATTTTCCCTTTGACTGAAAAGCCACTCCGCCTGTCCAAACCCTACCCATTCATCAACGCCCAGTGCCAGTATCACCTCCTCCTGGAAGGTGGAGGCTTGATTTCCTTGGGACTCCTCCGTCTCCTGGGCTTCCTGACCGCTTCACGCACCTCTCGTGACCCCTCTCACACACTGATCTGTATTGGCCCCCGGGTGCACATCTCATCTCCCTTATGGGGTTGTGAGGTCTGTGTTGCCGAGTTAGTGGGGGGCTGAGGAACAGGCCAGGTGAGAGGGTGATGCGGGTGCTGATGCAGGGCTGGAGAAGAGGGAAGGATGCAAAAAGTGAGGCAGAGACAAAATCACTGGATGTACCAGGAGAGGGCAGAAGTGGCCCAGGTGACTGAGGCTTTGGTGCCTCTATAGACGCAGGGAAATGGAGAGGGCAGTTTGGAAAGAGGACTTTAGTTTGAGTTTATCCTCCTGGACCCTTTGCCAATTGCCTCCTGGGTATTTGGTCGCTGAGTGGAGCCCCCAAAAGGTGGTGTTGCAGAGAAAAACTGCTGGGTCCTGGTCTCAGTTTCCCCATTAAACTATTTAAGCAAGAGAGCAGGGGTTACACTTGCTATTCAGAAGAACCAGGTTCTGGAGATCCTGGAGAGCAGTCTAAGCTAGAAGCCACCCACTTCTACCAAAATTGCTCCCTTTAAAAATGCTTCGGATACTTCTGGTCATGTATTTGGACTGATAGCTAGGTGCTACTATGTCTTTAACAAATGACGGTGAGAGCAGCAGCGTTAAACCCACTGCAGGATGTGAGCGGGAGCCCTGAGCTGGTTAATCCTGACACCGCCCCGGGAGGCTGTCCTTTCAGGGGGTCTTTTTTCACAGCCTTCATTGTCAGGAATCAGTTCTTCTGTGTTCTTGGCATAAAGAATGGTTCAGCTCCAACCTCTCGATCCTAATATCCTTCTCCCACCGTTGCTCTAATTCCGAATTATTTTCTCCTTTGGGACCCTTGGTTGACCTGGCAGTTTCACTCAGTTCTTTTGAATGGACTTGATAGAAACTCATTTCATCAGAAACCAGGATGTGGCCCTCTGAGCCACATTGGAATCGAAGGCAGGGAGGTATTTATTAGAGGTGGTCATTACTATCAAACCCCCGTCCTGGCCTGAGCAAGGCCAGCAGGACACTCAGCTGCTGTCTCAGAGGGCTGTCCTCATCCAGACTGCGTACCAGCTCTCCTGGGATGCGGGGGGATACGGGGGCGGGAGCAGGGGTTCCAGTCCCTGGCTGTGGCTTGAGGGGTCCTCATTAGGATTGAGTGGTAAAGAGGTCCCCGTGTGAGTAATGCTGGTTACTTCCCTTCCAGTGAAATCTCACAGCCCCGCGTGGCCCCAACACCTCGCACTTCGCTGAGCAAACAGGCACTAAGGAGGGCCTGGCTTAGAATCTCCAGCACTGCTTATAAAAAGGGTGGCGTGTGGAACGCCTACTTCAAAGTCACTGGTGGAGTTGCTTGGAAACACAGATTCCTAGGTCGTGTTGGCAGAGATTCTGACTTCTTAGGTCCAGAGTAGCCCAAGGGAATCTCAGAATTACATCTGCAAGGGTGAGAGCGGAAGTGAGCCTGAGACCCTGACGGTGGTGACGCAGAGAGTCTGGTGCTAATGAAGCCTGGGCTGCAGATGGGCTCAGGGAGTGATGTCAGGTTTAGAGCCATCCCATCACGGCTCATTCGAAGTCCGTGGGACCCACCGGGTCTTCCTCGCTTGTTGTTTCTTCAGTTCTCTATTTGATCCCGGGGAAGGGCTGGGGGAGGTAGTGTCTGAGATAAAAGGGAAGCCACACCCCTTCCATCACGAAGGGAGAATAACGATGATGATAATAAGGGCCAACATTTACACAGTGTTTATCGTGTAGCAGACCTCGTGTTTAGTGCCTTACGTGGCTTATGACGTTTGATCATTTTAACAAGTCTCTTAGGAAAGTCCTATGATTATGCTCATGTCTTAAATGAGGACACTGAAACCTCAGGGGTGAAGAGCCCAGCCATCCACACTGTAGGGCAGGGGGTGGGATGTGAGCCCGGGCCATCTGGCTCTAGGTGGCGAGTGGTCCTACTCTCCTCTGGGTGGTCCTTAGGAATGTTCTGGCCCCAGCTGTCTCTCTCAGCCTTGCTCCGAGGTAGGAAGCTTGCGTGACAGGGGCCTCTGTGTCACTGAACACCTGGATTACACGTGTGGCCAGGTGGCACCATCTGTCACAAGCTCCCAGAGCAGTGAAGGGTTTTCCGGGATGCCGATCACTTTATCGTTGTGATAACAAGCTCGAGCCCAGGAGCAGAGACGGGATTTCTCAGCTTCCTGCTTGTCTGTCACGTATCAGCAGGACATTTTTTCCTCGACCCCCATTGTAAACTGGGAATTAAAACAGATGTGGCTATATTAATTGACACTCTCCCTTTAATCAGCCACATTGCCGGCAATGCTGTGTTCCCCGTGATCAACAGATCACCCCGCTGCGGAACTTGCCAGGACCAGTTGCAGAATGAAAAGGCAGAAAACCTTGTTCAAAAAGCAGGAAAAAAGCCCTGTTCAAGGTACTGAAAGAGAAAGCTTTTCCTTTCTTCCACAGTCTCTTTTGATCTGTCATAGTATTTTTCGTTTGCCTTTTAATGACATTTTAAGTAAAGAAAAAAGAAAACTTGTTAATTAACAATCTAAAATTATTAGCATAAAGTTTACCATTCACCTTAATATTATATAATGACATTTTTTTGCGGGGGGGGTCAGCCATGGAGCTTGTGTGATCTTAGCTCCCGGACCAGGGATTGAACCCAGGGCCCTAGGAGCGACAGCACCAAGTCCTAACCACTGGACCACCAGGGAATTCCCTATAATGACAGTTTTAAATGCAACTATAAGAGCATTTAACCCAGATGTAGAACCACCAAAAATCACACGCTTTGTGTTTCACAGCTCTTACATGCATATGTATTTGGTTTTTACCAGAACAGTGGCAATAATACACAAAAGTAATGCAGCTCTTTTCATTTCACTTCTTGATACACGTGCTTTCTACCAACACCCTTTACCTTCTGCTTACTGATGAGTAAGGAAGGGCTGAACAGAAACAGATCTAGGGATTGCCCTATCTTTCCCTTCCTTCTGTGTCATCACTTTGGGGTGAGTGGTTGGCTGATTCAGGGAATTCTCCTGTATAAGAAAGGATGTGATAGGGCTTCTTGGTCATTTGTGTTACTTAGAACACCCCTGCCTTCTGTCTGCGTTTGAAGCAAGTTCTGGTTCAAATGAAAAAGGTGGCCTCTCAGGGTTGTCGGTGCCCCTGCTCACTCAGTTGAAGACATGACACACTTACTTTATATTCATTTTGAGTCTTACTGAACGTCCACACCCGTGGGCCCAGCAGAACTGGAGAACACAGCCAGGAGAGGCAGCCACACTCACCACATGTATCTGCTCACACCTGTGCTCCATTGTCCCATCAGACTTCACTTACAAAGTACAGATTCAAAGAAAAATTCATTGAGAAATTCAAGACCGCAACAGAAGAGCAGTAAACCAAGTGCAAGGTCCTCCTCAGCACAGGACCCCATGTGACTGCCCAGGTCGTGTGCCCAGGAAGCCGGCTCTGATGATCAATAAATATTATAGCTAATTCAGAGGAGGGTGGTTTGAGGGGAGGAGTGAAAACTGGGGCAAATCAGTCTGCATGCCTGCCCTTTTTTTTGGCATTTCCTGGAAGTAAAGGTCAAGATTGGCATGAAGGGCAACTTAAGGGGGCTTCTTGAAGAAGAGGGATGACCCCTGCCATGTCCATCTCTGCTTGGAGAATTAGTGTCAGAGCTTGGATTTAGTGGTGTGGCTGTGAGGTTCCTAGCTGCAGACACTTGCAGCCTCCAGAGGTGACTGAGACTCACAAATAGATCTGAGATGTTTGACAATCTGAAACTGGAATGGACCTAGTAGATTAAATTAATTAAAGTGGGTTTAGGACTTCCCCGGTGGTGCAGTGGTTAAGAAGCCTCTTGCCAATGCAGGGGACATGGGTTCTATCCCTGGTCTGGGAAGATCCCGCATGCCGCAGAGCAGCTAAGCCCATGCGCCACAACTGCTGAGCCCGTGTGCTACAACTACTGAGCCTGTGCTCTAGAGCCCGCGAGCCACAACTACTGAGCCCATGTGCCACAACCACTGAAGCCCTTGCGTGCTCTAGGGCCCGTGCTCCGCAGCAAGAGAAGCCACAGCAATGAGAAGCCTGCACACCACAGCGAAGAGTAGCCCTCGCTCGCCGCAACTAGAGAAAGCCCGCGTGCAGCAACGAAGACCCAATGCACCCAAAAATAAATTAAAAAAATAAAAATAGGGGCTTCCCTGGTGGCCCAGTGGTTAAGAATCGGCCTGCCAGTTCAGGAGACACAGGTTCAAGCTCTGGTCCGGGAAGATCCCACATGCCGCGGAGCAACTAAGCCCGTGCACCACAACTACTGAACCTGCACTCTAGAGCCCGTGAGCCACAACTACTGAGCCCACGTGCCACAACTACTGAAGCCCACACGCCTAGACTCCGTACTCCCAACAAGAGAAGCCACCACAGTGAGAAGCCCGTGCACCGCAAGGAAGAGTAGCTGCCACTCGCCACAACCAGAGAAAAGCCCACATGCAGCAACGAAGACCCAATGCAGCCAAAAATAAAATTAAATTAAAATTAACTTAAAAAAAAATAAAGTGGGTTCAGTGTAAGTAATAGAAAACCCAACTCAAAGTGGCACAGATAATAAAGGGATTTATTGGTTCATGTCAATGGAACGTCCAGGGGTAGTTCGGCTTCATGAGTGGTGTGATTCAGTGGGTGACGGATGCCACTGAGGTCCTAGTTACTTTTGCCTCTCCACTTTGCCTTCCACGTGTCAGTCTCGTCCTCAGGCTGGTTTCCCTTCTCGGTGTCAAGATGGTGGCCTGCAGCCCCCAGAGCAACTTGCTTTCTCACCAGTGTCCAGGGAGGGAGAGAAGCCTTGTTCTTGGAACTTCTGTCAGAAGAGTGAGAAAGCTTTTTTACCTTTCTCTCAGTCAACCTCCCCTTGAGTATCTTTGGCCCAGAACGAGCCAAGAGCCCATCCACCAACCAGAAACATATCCAGTGAGTGCAACTCTGCCAGTAACTTAGGGCTAAGCCTTATGTCCTTCTCAAAAGCCCAGGGGGAGTCAGCTTGTACCAGAGCACATAAACTGCATAGGAGAATGGGGAGGTGGGGAGACCAGAACAAAATGGGGTGATTACCTGGAGAGGACGGACTGGAAGCTCAGGAGGCTACCATGCCATCTACCTCAGAGACCCTCTCTCTGCTCTCAGGGCTGGCGCCTGACCTAGCAGAAAACATACATGTGTGATGCTGTCTAAACTTTAAACGTGGGAACAGGAGTGCCGTCCTACCCAAAAGACATTCAAATTCATAATTAAAAAAATTGCTGACCAAGCAAAACCTATATCTGCAGGCCATTTAACAGACAAGGAAACCAAGAACCAACAAGGGGAAGTAATTGCCTAAAATCATAATGGTTGCTGTATAGTGAGTTTGTGTGTGCATCTGCTAACGCACGTTACAGAAGAGAATGATGAGGCTTCAGGGAGGCCAGCTAATTCTAATTCGCTCAAAGCCACACAGCTAATGAGGGACAGAGGTGGGATTTGGACACAGATCTATCTAACTTGCGTGCCTCTGTCCTTTCCCAGTGCCAGAGGTGAATTGGTTGCATGAATAGGAAGAAAAACCCCAAGTCAGTTCAGAGCTCTGTTCCACTGTGTATCAGTAAGAAGTTGTAGGAGACCGTCTAATATATACTACGGGATATATAATCCATAAATAAATGGAAGGGAAAAAGACTTTGTGAAGCAGATTCCTTAAGTGATAAAGCAAGTTGTCAGTGAACCTTATGCACGGTAGGGAAGAGCCATCTGCAGTGGGTACAGGCTCCCAGGAAGCACAGGGTAGATGCCGCCTGGCTCCGTGAACGCCGGTGGCTTCTGGCATCCTGGCACTGGCAGAGCAGCAGCTTATGAACTCCTTTTCTAGAAGCTGTCAGTCTTTGGAGAGGTCGTGCAGGAAATCTGGGCCTTCGAATTGGCAGCCTGATCAGAAGAGACATTCAGCTGTCTCAGAGATGCAAGTCCTGGCGTGCACGCCCTGCCTCTCCTGCGGAAGCCCCAGGCAAGCGGTGACCTCCTCCCCCGTCTGCTGCCTTGAGAGAAGGGCAGATTTCACGGAAGGTGTAAGTAAAGTGCAGCGGAAAGGAAATGAGAGTCTCTGTGTTCTGATCCGGCTCTCGCTCCTTCCCTTACAGCCTGCTTCCTGTTTCTGCTCTGCACTTCCATGGCTCTCCCGCTGTCCGTGGCCTTCCCGGGCGAGCTGGCCTCTCAGCTGCTGGATGCCCCAGGCCAGCCATGTCCGGCCAGGACGATGGTACTCCATCATTAAACATAAAGTGTGCGATGGGACTTCCCTGGCGGTCCTCTGGTAGGGACTCGGCGCGTTCACTGCGGTGGCCCTGGTTCAGTCCCTGATCGAGGAACTCAGATCCCGCGAGCCTTGGGGTGTGGCCAGAAAAAGACACAAACAAAAGCAAAATGTGCACTAGGAAGAGCTGGCCAGGCTGATGATTTGTAGACACACGTGAGTCACACAGAAGTACTTGCTGAATGTTTTAAAAAGACGGAGTTCTGGGACCTGCCCTGGGGAATACTGCTGCAGTATGTCTGCGGTGAGGACACATCTGCTTTTAAAACTCTGTCCCTAGATGATTGTGGTACCTCTTGCCCAGTTTGGGAGCCCCCGGGCGAGAGTTTTCCCAAGGACCCTTCCCAGTTCCTATGCTCCCACGTGGATCAATATGAAAAATGAATGTCAGGCTGTGGTCATTGTCGGCACTCTGTACATTCTTTTGCTGAATGAATGAGTAAATATTTCCATTAGTCACATATATTAAATGATCTCAATTATCCAGAAGTATGAAGTTTGAGGAAAGGTTGAGGAGGTGGGAAACTCCTTGAGTAGCCAAAAATCATTTTCACGTCAGTGAAATTAAACTCACAGCCTTGAATGTTGCTGATGGGAGCCTCCAAGCTCTGCACGTGGAATCTAGCTACGCCTGTTTACAGAGAGGTCTAGCAAGCATGGTGCTCTAGGCTCTGAGTTCATAGCATATTGGAGCAGAAATTAAAAGGCCATCGGAAGGAAAAGAAAAAGACATAGGAATTGTTGCAAACAAAAAGCACCAGGTATTCAAATAGCTTAATGGGGATGGTGTTTCCTTTTGGGGTGATGAAAATGTTTTGGAACTAGATACAGGTGATCGTTACACATCATTGTGAATACGTTAAATGCCACTGAATTGTTCCCTTTAAAATGGTTCTTCGTTTTTTTTTTTATATCTTTATTGGAGTATAATTGCTTTACAATGTTGTGTTAGTTTCTGCTGTACAATAAAGTGAGTCAGCTATATGTATACATAAATCCCCATATCCCCTCCCTCTTGAGCCACCCTCCCACCCTCCCTATCTCACGCACCTAGGTCATCACAAAGCAGTGAGCTGATCTCCTTGTGCTATGCAGCAGCTTCCCACTAGCTAGCTATTTTACATTTGGTAGTGTATATATGTCAGTGGTACTCTCTCACTTCGTCCCAGCTTCCCCTTCCCCCTCTGTGTTCTCAAGTCCGTTCTCTATGTCTGCGTCTTTATTCCTGCTCTGCCGCTAGGTTCATCATTACCTAAAATGGTTCATTTTGTGTTATGTGAATTTCACCTCGATTTTTAAAAAAATCGACAATACTAAACCCAAAAATGAATATAAAAACAGTACTCTTAGGTTTGTAACAAGTGAAAGCTGACAGCTTGATAGGAAATAAAAGAACAAAATAAAATTCTCAAGTTTGCACAGAATTCGTATAGCCAAGTAGTCTGGGGCGATCTAGTGTCAGGGCAAACAATTCAGCCGGTTCAGCAGGCCCTGAAGCTGTCATTACTATAGGGCAATTTGAAAGTGAACATTTATTATACGGCTCTCCTTTATCAAGAAGAGTTACAAGGTGTCAGGTATACCCTGCTTAAGAGTTCCCCGTAAGAAAATGTCCTATGCAAAAATCTACTGGTAAAAGATAGATTTTTTTTTTTATCGAGTAAAAAGTAAGCTTTTGGAACCTGTGATTCAGTTATCTGAATAATGAACTTAACCGAAACAATTCACTCACTAACGTGGCTGCATAAATGAGGCAAGATCCCACAAGGCCAATTCCCATAGCGGTATATTAAAATCGCTACATCCGCTGCCTGCAGTGGGTATCAAGGAATTACCGCTAAATTGTTAATAGAGTGTCCATTTACGGTGATGAACAAGTTTTGGAAATAAAGAGTGGTGATGGTTGCACATGTTTGTGAATGTAATTCGTGCTACTGAATTGTACACTTAACATGGTTAAAATGGCAAAAATTTTTGTTATATATACTTTATCACAATACAAATATTTAAAAATAATTTTTAAACTTCCATAATATTGCCTCCCCCCCCCCAGCGAATCACTACATCTGGTAGTTTTACCAACTGTACTGGGGAGAATTCTAAAGCCTGAAGAGGGTAATTGTGGTACTGCAGGTCAGTCAGAAAGAAAATCTAGAGGTCCCAGGCAGTACACGAAGCACACCAGGGAAAGATGCTTTTATTACATTTATTAGGGTCCTTTTGAGCCATCTGTGTGCTGATTGGCTCTGCTGCGATCAGCAGCAGTTTTTATTCATTAGCAATGAGCAGGTGTGTAAGTCATTACTCATGTTCATTTCACAGCTGGACTTTGAATGGAAAAGCAGCTCCTACCCAACAACTCTGGCATCAGGTACTGATATGTAAAGGTCTTTGAGCGAAAAGGTTTTCTTGAGGCTTGGAAAGTACTTCCATCTAATAATGGCTTCAGCGAAACATCAGGGATCTCTATAGAGGCAGGCCTCTGTAGGCTGATGATTGGATCAGTGTGTGTATTTGATTTTACTCTGATTTTACCCCGAATTTATAGGTCTCTCTATACCTAGAAATGTTTATTCATTTCAATGGAATATGGTATAGTCATAGAAAAATGCTTTACTTCCTCTGTTTAAGTACCAAGGCCTTCGTAGGAAATAAAATGTCAACTCAAAGCTAAAACTTTCAATGCCATTTAATCAGAAGATTTTTTTTTTTTTTTTTTTTTTTTTTTTTACCACGGCTGTTTTGCTTTTTCATTTTGGAAAAATCGTTTAATCCAAGAATCATACTTCCACTCATTTCATAGGGATTGTCACATGAACCAACCAAATGTAAGAAAGCCAAGTTTCAGGACTTCCCTGGTGGCGCAGTGGTTAAGAATCCACCTGCCAATGCAGGAGACACAGGTTCGAGCCCTGGTCCGGGAAGATCCCACATGCCGCGGAGCAACTAACCCCGTGCGCCACAACTACTGAGCCTGTGCTCTAGAGCCCACGAGCCATAACTACTGAGCCCGCGTGCTACAACTGCTGAAGCCCACGCGCCTAGACCCTGTGCTCCACAACAAGAGAAGCCACCGCAATGAGAAGCCTGTGCACTGCAACGAAGACCCAACACAGCCAAAAAAAAAAAAAGTGCATGATATATGGTTTTAAATAAAACATTGAAGTGCCATTTTAAGTACTTTATTGATATTATATCACACAGTACTTTACAGGTGGCCTAACTTATGAAAATTAAACATGTAAATATTTTATTCTCCAAAATATGGATAAAAAGTCAGAGTGCTTTTTTTTTTAAACATCTTTATTGGAGTATAATTGCTTTACAATGTTGTGTTAGTTTCTGCTGTATAACAAAGTGAATCAGCTATATGTATACATATATCTCCATATCCCCTCCCTCTTGCGTCTCCCTCCCACCCTCCCTATCCCACCCCTCTAGGTGGACACAAAGCACCGAGCTTATCTCCCTGTGCTATGTGGCTGCTTCCCACTAGCTATCTGTTTTACATTCGGTAGTGTATATATGTCAGTGCTATTCTCTCACTTCCTCCCAGCTTACCCTTCCACCTCCCTATGTCCTCAAGTCCATTCTCCACGTCTGCGTCTTTATTCCTATCCTGCCCCTAGGTTCTTCAGAACCATTTTTTCTTTTTTAGATTCCATATATATGTGTTAGCATATGGTATTTGTTTTTCTCTTTCTGATTTACTTCACTCTGTATGACAGACTCTAGGTCCATCCACTTCACTACAAATAACTCAATTTCATTTCTTTTTATGGCTGAGTAATACTCTATTGTACATAGGTGCCACATCTTCTTTATCCATTCATGTCAGTGGACACTTAGGTTGCTTCCATGTCCTGGCTCTTATAAATAGTGCTGCAATGAACATTATGATACATGACTCTTTTTGAATTATGGTTTTCTCAGGGTATATGCCCAGTAGTGGGATTGCTGGGTCGTATGGTAGTTCTACTTTTAGTTTTTTAAGGAGACTCCATACTGTTCTCCATAGTGGCTGTTTCAATTTACATCCCCACCGACAGTGCAAGAGGTTCCCTTTTCTCCACACCCTCTCCAGCATTTATTGTTTGTAGATTTTTTGATAATGGCCATTCTGACTGGTGTGAGGTGATACCTCATTGTAGTTTTGATTTGCATTTCTCTAATGATTAATGATGTTGAGCATCCTTTCATGTGTTTGTTGGCAATCTGTATATCTTCTTTGGAGAAGTGTCTAGGTCTTCTGCCCATTTTTGGATTGGGTTGTTTGTTTTTTTGTTATTGAGCTGCATGAGCTGCCTGTATATTTTGGAGATTAATCCTTTGTCAGTTGCTTTGCTTGCAAATATTTTCTCCCATTCTGAGGGTTGTATTTTTGTCTTGTTTATGGTCTCCTTTGCCGTGCAAAAGCCTTTAAGTTTCATTCGGTCCCATTTGTTTATTTTTGTTTTTATTTCCATTTCTCTAGGAGGTGGGTAAAAAAGGATCTTGCTGTGATTTATGTAATAGAGTGTTCAGCCTATGTTTTCCTCTAAGAGTTTTATAGTGTCTGGCCTTACATTTAGGTCTTTAATCCATTTTGAGTTTATTTTTGTGTATGGTGTTAGGGAGTGTTCTAATTTCATTCTTTTATAAGTAGCTCTCCAGTTTTCCCAGCACCACTTATTGAAGAGGCTGTCTTTTCTCCATTGTATACTCTTCCCTCCTTTATCAAAGATTAGGTGACCATATGTGTGTGGGTTTATCTCTGGGCTTTCT